TTATTATATTATTATTATTATTATTATTATTATTATTATTATTATTATTATTACTATTATTTAATTGTTATTATTATTATTTTTATTATTATTATTATTATTATTATTATTATTATTATTATTATATATGTTGAAACTTACCGTACACCATGTAAGTAGTTCTGAAAAGAATTGTTGTAGTTGAATTTGAGAACTTTAACTAGGCCTATTATTAATATTAGACCATTATTAATATTATTATTATTATTATTATTATTGTACGGTTGTTTGTCCTTGTTGTTCTTTCGCATTTTCTATGACAATTTAGCCTCATTTTTACCATATTTAATCATAGGCCTAGCCTAGACCTACAGGTAAGCCTAGTTCAGGTTCTCAAATTCAACATACATTGAAACTCAAATTGTATGTGGTTTTTAAAATAATATTTCTGTTTATGTACCCAGCCAGTATTGTCAACAGACACTCCTAAAATTCTGAAACAGCTTAAAAATGCTCATCATACAACAATGACTGTACATATTGTCGGAGAGCTCCCCTCACCTTCCCGGCCAAGCTCCGCCCCCCCCCCCCCCCCCCCCCCCGTAAATGGTGCAGTTACTCACGCATTTCAAATCTCTCAGGTTGGTAACTAGGCCTAGGCCTATGCTATGTCTCAACGTAGAGAAAATAGAACTACTTTCTCTATCTAGTCTCAACAACCGGTTAAAGGCAAGAAGATCACTTCCTGTCATTAACGAAAGTAGGCCTAGTCGGTCCCGACTTTGTTTCTACGGCTGAACAGACAAAGTACCACCAACTGGCAATCCTGGCCTAGCTTACCTCAAGGTAATAAAGGTCCAGTGACGTTATTTGAGAATCAAGAAAGTCTTCATATGTGCTAAATTCTGTTACAATATTATCACTTCCCGATGCCACCTCTTCCTCCATTTCCAACCAAGTGAATTAAGAATTATTAAAACCTAGAACTCACGTCCCCTTCTTTCGTCGATCAAAAACCGACGATCAAAACAAAGCCGAAACATAGGCACACCGCTTGTTGTAAAATTCTAATAATTAATACAACAAAGTAGTTCTTTCGTTGTTGGCAGTTGTATTGTAACTTGTTTTAGAATGTATGTTTCACTAAAATAAAGATATAATTCTAAATAGTACTGTATATACGAAAAAATTAAGTTTGATAATGTCTACATTTCTTGAAATTTTTATGCAAAAACTTCTAGGCCTTGATGTGGATTGATACAGCCTAAAGAATATATGTTAGCTGTTGCTTAGCAACCTATGCAACATGACATGCCTAAAAGAAATCCAGTTGCCTGGAAGGAAACACATTGTTTCGGACGTTGTTTTACATTGTTGTCACCAATTTTAAAATAAATGATCAAAGCAATTTAAATCATCTTATAAATATTTGAATAGAAAATTCAATTTGTGGAAAGGTGAAGTACATTTTTGTCTTTTTCTCAAAGCTAACAATCATCATTGGGCAATTACGTTCTGGAAAAGCGACTAGCAAGCGGGGTCACAGCTTTCAGAGCCTTGATTACTTTGTTACCATAGAGATTATTATTAGGGGTCAATGTCGTGTTTACGAACTAGAGCATCCTAAACCATAGAGCTATTATTCTTATTATATCTCTATGTCCTAAACACAAACACAGTACACGCATACCCATAGCAAATCTGGTTTGTTCAGAGATTTGATTAGATTCAAGTCTTGTCGAGTAAAGTAAGTATATAGTATTACTTTTCAAATGTATATGCTAACAAAGCCAATCCAGTATAATATTTATGCCATATTTCTGTACATTTTTCTGCTTTATTTTAGGCCCAGCAACCTAGACTAGGCCAGGGCTAGGCCCTAGGCCTAGTGAGTAGCCTAGGCTAGGCCTAGGCCCTCTACTAATACTATCTATCTAGGTAGGCCGGGCTAGAGGTCCGACTCCTCCTACTAGGCTAGCCGGGCTAGGGTCTAGGCTAGTACTACTAGATATCCTCCTTACAATTAAAACAGTATCATCCTTAAAACACTTTACAGTATGGATTAAATTAAATTGTATCGCGTAATTTAATGCAAGCATTTTTAAGCACAAACAAACTATCTAGCCTAGGCCTACTCTCCTTAATTTAGGTAACCTTACACTTTACTTACACTGTACAGGACATGATGATGCTTTTTATTTTGTAATTAAAAATAATGTTGGGTTTTTGGTTTTTTTTTTCAAATTAATTCTGCTGCCATTTTTTTTTTCAGAATACTGTAAGTGTAATATACTAATTGTGGAGTTTATCCAATCAACAAATAGAAATTTTAAAAAAGGAATAAATTACCGACAACAGTTGACAACAAATAAAATGTAAATAAAGATGAGATATATTGGAAAAATTATAGGCAAAACTAGCTAAAATCCTTTTTTTTTTCACATAGGCCCTAGGCCTAGTAGAATGACATCAGGAAAGCTTGTGTTACCATTTGATACAAGCCCAAGAATAAGGTCACGATATGACACTCTTGTGGTCAGCCATGGGAATGATTATGAAGGAGAGGACGACAAAAAGAATGGCAAAGAATATGCTGCATTTCTCAGGTAAATAATATACTGTCGTATACTATACTATACGTTAAATAGTAGCACACACCTACTAACTCTCACACATAATGCATGAGTCTCAAACAATTTACGTTTCACACCTACGTTGTCTCACACATCATAAGAATGTTTATTAAAAGATAAAATGTAGGCATTTATTTGGGCCGATTATACCATAAAAGTTAAAAGATTAAGTGAATTCATTATTAATATGCGAATACAGTCCATATAAAATTCTTTTAACGAATTTTGCAAGAACTCGTCAAGAACATTGGTCCTCCCACTGGGAGACATCGGATCTCCCACCTCCGTTGGGCAAATCTTGGCACCACCCCAGATACTGTTGATAGTTTAGTTAATAAAAATTATTATTAAATATCCTTTAGAGAACAAGAACGCAAATGTGGACCCGATGGCTACCTGGACTCGTCCAAATACACCCATACCTTTGAACTTAAAGGAAAAGTTATACTGTACTGTACACCTACTGTACTGTTAAGAGCCACAATCTGTGAAATGTCCCAATTATTGTGAATTCTACCTCAATTTACTTGTCAGTCTCCAATACCATACATATAATTTTCTCTAATTGTTTTCCATTTGCATATAATGTTTTGAATATAAATTTATTTTAAAAGATGTGTTTTTATTTACCAGTCACATACCATTATGTCTATAAAAAAAAAAAATGAAAATATTGATTGGACGAGAAAACTTGTCTCTGATACAGGATTCTTTAAAAAAATCGGCATAAGGCTTTTTTTTTAATTATTTTTTGCTTTAATTTATGTTTATTTACGAGTATTTTTGAAATTATTAAAATCAATACATTCTTTGAGAACTGCCAACTATATTTGTTGAAATTTCCTGGCGAGCATTATCTGCAGACCTGAATATTCGTAACCATCAATGCTGCTACAGCTTCCATTAGCATAAAACTCTATATTATCTATAAATAGGGACCTTAAAATCAAAAGTTGACACATTTTTGTTAACCTTTTGAAAGAGATCATAATATCCTTGTATGTCATGTTTATCCAAGAGAAACAGAAACAGAAATTAAAAATTTGTCAACTTTTGATTTTAAGGTTCCCTATTTATAGAGTTGTAGCTTAATATAGAGTTGTATTAACTCGGAGTTATTTTAGAGTTATTCAGAGTTGTATTATTAGACTCCAGAGGAATAACTGTTTTGATATGTTGTACAACTGATTTTTATAAATCACAAAGACTGTTTGACGAAAATGGTTTAACAGTTAATTAAATACAGATTTATGAATGAAAACTGGAGAGAAAAGTGTGGTTATGCCCCTTTTTTAGCCCCAGTGTTTACCTACAATTTTAAAAAAACACAATTCGTTGGAAAAAAATTAATATATTTTTTACATATTAGTAGACTCTATAATTGATTAAATAAACCTTTGAAATCCCTACATTGTCATAGTTTTCTGGGGCGTCACCCCCTGCACCACTTCTGAGAGATTTTGGGCTATACCCCACCACATCCACATTGCAAGAACTCGTCAAGAACATTGGTCCTCCCACTGGGAGACATCGGATCTCCCACCTCCGTTGGGCAAATCTTGGCACCACCCCAGATACTGTTGATAGTTTAGTTAATAAAAATTATTATTAAATATCCTTTAGAGAACAAGAACGGAAATGTGGACCCGATGGCTACCTGGACTCGTCCAAATACACCCATACCTTTGAACTTAAAGGAAAAGTAATAGATACAAAACAAGCTCGCTCAAAACAAAATGGTGCAACAAAGCCAGAGCTAGCTCCTTTAGCACCCACCACTAAAACTACTGTGTGTGTGGGCAAACCCAAGGCAGACACAGTTGTCGACCTGATGTCCAAGATCATCAAAGATGAAAAAGACTTCAATAAACGAATGAAAGTAATTGAGGTAGGAAATAAATTTCACATTTTTAATTTTAGAAATATAAAGTAATTCAAGAGCAATCTTTAGAGTGAATGTGATGTTTATTTCAGAATATATAATTAATATTGTAAAAATGTGTTTAAACAAGTAGTGTTATAAAAAGTATGTTCATAATAAATGTGTCAAGTAATAAATTATTGATTAACAAATAATATAATGTGTACAATAAGTGATATCATATAAATATATAGGAAAAGTTTTTAAAAAAATGAGGAATGTATTCTTATAAGTTGAAAAATTATAGAAAAATTTTTAAGTAAACATCATTGAAGAAGATGTGATGCTATAAAATTTAATAAGTAATGTGATGTAAATACCATCGTTTAATATTCATTAATATTAACCATAGGATCATATGTTGCAACATAAACAAGAAGAACGTGAACTCAAAAGGTCAGAGGGAGATGTAATAAAGAATCAACAGCAGCTTCGGCGAACCATGAGAGACTATGAGAATGGTAAGACGTCAACAATATTAAGTATATTTCTTATCAGGTGATAAAGAAAGGTTGCTACTTGTGGTGGTGGAAGATTTCTTAGCAATTTTGGAGGTCTTCTATTGCACAGGTGCTGCCCAGCTAGAAGTGTTGTTCTTTGGTTGAAAACCATTAGACGTTCACAAAAAGCAGTTAATTGCCAGAATTAACAGTACTTGGTCTTTTTTTTTCTGTTCCTTTTTTGCCTACCAAAATGAATTCCAGCCATTTTACGAAAGAAGCAAGCAGAGGCCCGAAAAATACTTGAAAATCAAAAGAAAGAGTTTTTCATTACCAGGGACCATGTGCACAGAAAGGAGCAAGTATGTTGACATGACATTTCATATTTTTTTTGTTTATTTATTTTATTTTGTATAACTTATAAAAAGAAAAGTTATTTTCCATTTGTTGCATAAATATTTTCACTTTTCATTGTCGTATCTGCTAAAATTATTCATTTTTAGTGAACATTTTATTTATGCTTTCCTGCAGATGAACAAATCCAGAATTGAACAAACTTTAACGAAAGCTCAACAAGATAAGGATGAAGACAGAAAAGTCTTTGTTTCTGTGTAAGTGATTATCATTAATCATTGTCTCTTCTTTGTACAAAGAGTTAACCACCAAATGTTAAAAAATTTAGTTCAATATGTATTGCATGTAAAGTTGAAGTAAATGATATGATATAACCTTAATAACCACACCATCAGTACATTTAATGATGAAGATGATAATTATAATTTCTACCATTATCATCATTTTATCATTGCATTTTGTTTATCAGTGGATCGTGGAAGAGGTAAATTAAATTTAATGTTGAATTAATGTTAGCTGTTTACATTTTAAACTGGTTTTAATTTTTTCAATCAAAATTTTATCTTTATAATGTTTTAATGTCTCAACCTCAGTACTTTTAACTATTTTTACCAACTTTGATATTTTAGAAGTTTTCGGATTTTAAAACCGTTCAAACTTCTGAACATCTTTATGGCTGTTTTGCAGTTTGTTTTTTTTTTTTTTTGTTTTTTGTTTTTTTTTTTTTACATCTTTGTGCCATTTTGTATGTTGTATATCACATTTTTAAAACTTTTTTTAATGTTGTGTATAGACAACGTTCAGCATGTACATTAAGCCAAAGTTTCAAACATGGTTTTATCTGCTTGTTTAACCAATAAATTTAACTTCTTCAACCTAATCATTATCACTTTAATCATCATCATCATCATCATCATTATTCATATTATATCAAATTCATTATCATAATCTCAATTCCTATCAGTGTTACTCAAATTCCATTCTTAAACCTTTGATAAATTATGTTTCAGTGGGGACTTGGAGAGAAAGTATCGGGCAAAAATTGCAGAGATTGAAATGAGAAGAACAGAAGTAATGCGTCTGAATGAGGAGTACACAAAAAAATTGAAGATGAAAGAGGAGGAGACGTTTAAATTGAACAGAGATTTGGCAGAGATTGCCCTCGCTGTAAACATGGAGGCACAAAAGAGACGCGCCATCCACTTTCAACACATCAAGTAAGTAATGACAGTTAATTGAGGTTGACTTAAGTAGGATCTCTATTGATGGATGGATATATTTGGTGTAAACACCACGGATAATCCACGAAATTCCAAAGCAGACTTATTCCCCGTGGGGTCCTTCTGATGGCAATTGCGCAGTACCCTGGGAGACAATCCCCTACTCTTTTCCGAAGAGTTCTCTGCGTTCTTTAACGTGCACATGGGCTATAATGCGCACAGGACCAATGGCTTAAACCAAAGGACAGTGCGCTATCGTAACCTGCAGAGCAGCGATGAGTATTAAACGGGGGACCAACAGATCTCCATAGTTCAGCGCGCACACATTGGCTATCACCAGTTTAGCCAACTGAGCTAAGCTGCTCTCTTGAGCAGCTTAGCTTATTGATAAATGAGGAAACACACCTTAATCTAACCACCCAAAAAACAGTTATTTTGTTTCCTCAAACTAAGCATGGTTTTCCCATCATCTGTGCTTTTGTTCAGGAACTTTATTTTTATTGCTAGTGGGTGACCCAACTCTCTGACCCAGCTTCTTCTAAGACCACAACCATAAATATTTTCCGGTCCCTGGAGGCTTGATGATTTTTCATCCCACATTATTATGTATTTGTTTTTCTGGTGGTGAGTGTGATATAAACCCATTGATCATTAGGTAAAGTTTCCCTTGTCACAAATACTCATTATTTGATGATTCCTTTTGTAGTAAATAATCATGAGTTGATATCTTTTTTTCATTCCACAGGGACCATCATGCTGAATCAAAGGATAAGATGCAAGTTGGTAATGAGATAGAGTCAGCCTATGAGACAAAAGTGAAGAAGACACAAATTAAAGGAGATCAGTTTGAGAACAACAGGCGGAGATTGAGTCTTGACCTGACTGTCTCCAAATCAAACTTAGAAGAAAAATCACGAGATGGTAGGAATTTTAAAATTCAATTCTTATTCTTATTTGTTTAAATGCCCAAACTTTTCTGCTTAATGTTCCCTATCCCAGGTAAAAATTCCAGTTGATGAACCAGTTCTTGCAGTTTCCAACTGGTCACCAGTTTAAAATGGTCACCAATTGGAAGTGGTCACCATTTGGAATTGATCTACCATAGACCTCCAAGCATCTCTAAGCTGTGCAGTCTTTACACATACTAATACTGCAAACCAAACTCAAGGGTCCCAAGTCTCTTGGAACTCATGAGAGTCTTCCAGAAATCAGGGCAGCCTCCTGCACTCCCGCAAGCAAGCGAGAATATCCTGGAAATAACCCATACATTTTCTCATGGACGTTAGTGCCGATGAGTGTGTGAGAGGGTATTTCCGGCCATTTAGAGGTGCCTAAATCATAAATTTTCTTACTTCACCTCCAACCATGGTGGAGCTGAGGTGTCAACCGTCCATCTATAAAAGTCTCTCCCTGCCCCACCCCCGCCTTTCAATCCACCACTACGGATCTCCCGGAAATGACTTCCTCCAGCTTGGGACGCCTGCTAACTACTCTGTTATCCATGGATCCACATCATTCTATCTAACTCTCTCCCAATCTTCCTTCCATGTTCACTTCCAAAAAGCACATTTTGAAGTGATTAAACATGTCTCTAAAGCTCTGTTAACGCTACTAAATTTTCTTTGACAGATATATGGTCATGATGTGATGTCATCATGACCATATTTAGGCATGTCACATGTTGTTGTGAAATAAAATTTAGTTTTTTAGAACGGGCTTTAGAAATATTTTTAAAGAATGTTTCCCATTATCAATTTTTGTTTTGTATTTTGTATTCTCCCCCGTAGCTCTAAATTTATAGTTATTTCTGGAATTTTGATTATTTTATTCAATTGTTTATTTTTTCCAACCAGGATTTAGTGTATGTCTGAATCAGTATTTTAATATAATTTTATATTTTCTTAATTTCCAGAGGGAAGACAGCTGCTAGACACACGTAACAGACTTCAAGACAACTTCATCCTTCAGAAGCAACTACAGGAATCTGCGTTGAATGCCAAGTTAGACCTCAAGAGTAAAAAAATGAATAGCAGACTCCAGGTAGATATTGTTATAATAAAGTAATATCAATAACAACGACAACAGTACTGATAATGTCAAAGTGTATAAAACCGTTAAGAAGGCACAGTACTGTTTGAATGAGTGTCATGCCCATAGTTACACCATGGAACTTGCACTTTATATAGAGTGTCAAAGTCACAGAGCCTGTTGGTTCCATTCAAGGCTAGTCTGTGTTGTGCATTTCAATGTCTTGATGCACAGCTACATTCATTTATTTGCTCTGTGACATGGCACTTCAATTCTCTCTATCAAAATAATTTTTCTTATTCCTATTCTGTTTATTGCCTAAACAACACAAAAAGTACAAAAAAACCAAAAAAACAACCAACTGAGTGAGTTGGCAGGAAAAACAATTAGCAAACTTAATCGCTGCAACAAAAATTCAGTGTTTCCCACTCACCCAGTTGCACATTAAAATTATTAAAAAATTTATTAAAATAAACTTTACATACAACATATTAAAATGTCACAATAATATTAAACCACATAAAAAATACCATCAATAACAGTTTTTCTTTCTTTTCTTAAAGGCTCATGAATCTCGGAAGCAGATGCGATTAAAAGAGTTTTCTCTCCAGAAACGAAGACAATACGAACAAAAGGAAACACAGTGGGAGGATAGGTTCCAGAAAAGAAATCAAGATTCAAAACGACGAGAAAATGAAGATAATCTAAAACATATAACGGTAAAATTTATTTAAAATATCAAATCAATTATATTTCTGTATATTGTTACCACAACTTCTTGGATGACATTAGGTGAAGGGTCACCCTATGTATAGGATAGTATTGCTAGGTTCCCCTACACATTAGTCAGTGCAGTTGTAATAAAACTTTTACTGTCTGTTAGTAGCAGTGTAATGAAGAGGCCTGAAGCCCCTGAGCCAGGGGCCACAGATGATGGACTGCAAAGAGCCCCCGGTGGGGGTCTGTGCATATTTAGCATTCTATGAAGTATTTTAATGCCTTTTTTACACATTCAAATTCTGACCCTGGTATTCTTAAAATTAACTTTAGTCATAGTTCAAGCTAAAACTTCAAAATTACATTATTTTGTATTCTTAAAACAAACTTCAACTAGCACTACGACTAAATCACGCAAACCTCGACGAATATTATACCGCCTCAGACGATTTTTTAGTCAGCCCCAGGTCAGGCTTAATCGCCGACTTTAAATATTTACCCCACTAAAAACATGCTTTTTGTAACTTACAATAAAGTGAAATGAATAAAAAATTATTGTATAAATAGGTCTAATGTATCTCCAGTGTGTTCAAGAAAAGGGACATTACGCTTAGCTTCCAAATGGCGAAATTAACATGTTTTGCTAGCCACATGCAGCAGTTCCTGATTTGCACGAAATCACCTCGAGTTGTGGTCACGTAGCTTCACTGCAACAACAACAAATATAGCGCCGGCCTCGCTCGACCTCAACTGTAATAATTCTCCAAAGAAAGCAAATTTTCAGTGACAGTTCAAATTCTCTATCGTTAGATGTTAATGACTAATATAGTTATTATTATAGAATATTAGTTAGGCGAATAATGGTCTATTATGAATTGTGAGGAAATATGTTTTTGAAAGACAGACGACAGTTTAATATTCATCCGCGTTACCAGATCTCTAAAATTTCATCTGCTATTAAAATTAGCTCTTTTCATTAGTTAGTTTTATAGTTGTTGGTTGCTTGCCAGTCATCTTCAGCAGAACTACAACTAGGACTTGATTTAGTCGCAGTTAGAACTTTGACTAAATTGTTTGTGAATACAAGTTGAAGTTGAAGTTGCAAGTACTAAATGAAGTTCTAGTTCGAAGTTCGACTGAAGTTTGTTTTAAGAATACAAGCATAAGTTTATGTGTCGTAAATTTACCCCAAAAAAGCATACTTAATATTAACTAAGATAACTGATAGACATAATATTACAATAAATACCAGAGACTGGCTTGGAAAAGGGCCTTGGTTATTTCGTTTGTAAAAAAAAAAAATTTGAATTTGCTGGGCCCCCTGAGGCTCCTGGGCCCCTGGCTTTAGGCAGTAAGAGCTTATATCTGCTACACCACTGCCTTTTACAGTTCTATGCAGGCAGAGTTTGTTTCCAGTCAAACAGTTCTCAGTTGAGTAAATGCAAGATATCGGAACTTCCAATCATGACAAAAACCAAGAACAAATTCACTCATTTGTGACCATCTTGCATTTTTTGCACAAGGCAGATTTGACCCAAACATACATCTTAGAATTCACAGGAAAGCAAGAACTCAACATCATGCATAAGGCATACCCGGATCCCCTTGCTGGGAGAGATGGCCCTAACACCTTGGGGGGAAAAATAATTTAATGGAAGAAAATAAAAATTTTATATACAGTACCTTTTACAAAGCAGCCTCTAAAATTTATTAAATAAGCCTATGAAACCCCTAAATTGTCACAGTTTTTTACTCTGTGACCACTTTCGAGAGATTTCTGCTCTCAACAGGGATATCATCTGCCCCCCTGCCCCTCCACTTTATGGGAAATCATTACTTCCTAGATCTGACATCATGCAATCGAAAGCACCTTATTGTACAACTAGGCCTAGTCTCAGCAAAAAATTGGCCTGTTGGGGTATATGTTCCAGCTGGTTTGGTTCACACTTTCGAAATATCCATTTTAAAAATTTTTCTATAAAAGTTAAGTAGCTGAACCAATATTTTTTTTCAATTTTTGGCCTTGAATTTTAACATGATTTGTGTTTTAATATTATAGAAGGAGGTCAACAAACTCGAGGAGGTGGAGCATGATCTCTTCAACAGAGTAAGGAATGCAGAGTATACACGCAAACAGCGAGAGCAGATGTGTAAACGCCTTAAAGGAAAGCTTCTTGACCTACGGAGAAAAAATGCTGAAACACTAAAACGGCAAATGTTGCAATGTTTAGAGCAGGAGAAAGAAGTAGAACAAAAGCTTCTACGAGAACAAGCCGAATTGGACAAGGTGGGTATAATAATAATTAATAATTATAATCATTAAGCCTCACTTCCCCCATCAGAGAGCGGTTAAGGCAGGGTTAGCTCAACCTACAGCCATAATATCGACGCTGGTTCGAGCAACATGCTTGTCTATGGTTCTGCTGGTGGAATAAGTCTTCTCGGATAAGGAATATAAACCGTAGGCCCAGTGTACACAGACTGTAAACCGTAGGCCAAGTGTACATAATTTGCTCATTTGCACTTTAAAGAACCCAGTATATCATTCAAGACGAGTAGGGAGTTACACCGATGTACTGGCTTATACAGCCACATTGCCCTATGGTTATGGATCCTAAGGTCCTTTGCAGGATATATCTTCGTAAACAATGACCAGGATTTCCAAATAACATTGAATGAAAAATACATTCATAAATATATATATATATATATATCTTTGCCACAATTATAGGTCATGGTTCAATTTGGAAAGTGTTAACTGTCTCTGCTTTTACATGTTTAATTTTTGTTGTGTGTGTTCTGATGCACTAAAGTGAAAAATGTAGATTCTTTGGGAGTTCCACACACTCCCACCAATGGTTGGTTCTGATAAATGCCTAAAGTGAAAAATGTAGATTCTTTGGGAGTTCCACACACTCCCACCAATGGTTGGTTCTGATAAATGCCATTTCATGATAATTGAACACAATTCTTACTTAAGCACAATTAGCGTCATAGTTTGATCATTATTGCTTGCAGGCCCATGTTAACAGAGAAGAAAACTACCTAACCCTACAGCAGCACAGGATCAAAATGAGGGAGGATCAGTATGTACTAAGTGAAACCGCAAGAGTAAGTTTTGTCAGATGTTTATGATTTCTCAATTATACAACAGAAACACTTTTCATTGATACCATACCGTAAAACCCCGAATTGAAGCCCAGTGGTTAATCTCGAAATTAAGCACATCTCTAATTGAAGCCCCTATTTTAGTTTCCAAAATTAGCCTCGAAAAGAAGCCTATCTCGAAAACCACCCCATGGGCTTCTTTTCAATATAGCACATGCTTCTTTTCGAAATAGTACAGTACATACACTGTACATAAATTTCAAAGAAACAAAATAAATTAAAACACGCTGGTTTATATACAGTAATTTAGGTGGTTTAATGCCAATTAATACACTCCATGATACCGATTGATGTTGCAGCAGCTGTATTTATTGTTTTATAGTACTACTTCCCAAAATTTACAGCATTCATTTTGAAAAGAAGGCCCCCCCCCCCTCTTTTTATTTGCAAAAGTAGCCTCGAAAAGAAGCCCATCTTGAAAAGAAGCGCATCCAAAGTTCGCAAAAAAAGAAAAAGCACAGGGCTTTAATTCATGGTTTTACGGTATTATATTCATCATTGTCATTATTATATTATTATCATCATTGCTATTATTATTATTATTATTATTATTATTATTATTATTATATTAATGGATGATCATCATTGCCATTATTATCATATTACTGTATAATCATCGTTGTCCTTACTATAATCATAATTATCATTATATATTATCATTGGCTGGTTCTGCCATAAATGAAAACTATAGGAAAAATTGTTAGCGTAAATTTTACGAATTTGAAGATAAATGTATTTTTTAAAATGCAACCACGTAAAGCAACAGGTATCGATGGTAAGATGTTAACTTTTTAATGCCAGTGTACCCATCATCTCTTATTTTTATGTATAATTGCACATCCGTTCATCTATTACATTACCCTATTTAAATAAAATTCTATTAAAAAAAATATAAAAAATTACAGTTATATATAAACAGTTCAATTAAAATCACAAAATGTGAAACTTAAAAAAAACCAGAAAATGTACTTTGCCTAAACAAATCCATGTCCTCGGTTTTGTTATATTAAGGGAGTCAAAAGAGTTTTGAAGAGTTCAGTCAAAAACTAATTTAATAAAATAGTGATTATTCTCTTTAAATTTTTACAGGAACATAACCGTCTCATGCGAATTGGAGAGAAAACCGATGATCTAAGTGCCAGCGTGTCATGAAGTATGAATTTATATTGTCGCATGTGCAAAATGAAATTTATAAAAAAAAAATATATATACTACACACAACACACACAGTTGCACTAAAACACATTTATTATAAGAAATACCACTATTGAGAAAATGGTAAAGGTCAAAGTATCACATGAATTTTTTGGCATCAAAATGGTCACTATAGTATTATACATCAATTATTAAATTGCAAAATGTTCAGCATTTAAAGTGATGTCTGATAAGTCAGCTATATTTTTTAGATTTTTACTACATAGATTTTCTGTGCTTATTTTAATTTATATTATATTTGTATGTACACAGGTATATATACTTACTAAAATATATAGACACAAAAGTTTTAAATGAGGTTTTATGCTATATATGTATGTAAAGGTATATATATTTACTAAAATGGAGTTTTATGCTATTATATTTTATAAGTGGATCAACTGTTTTTATTCATATCAACAAAACAAATGAACAGGTTTAAATTAATAAAATAATGTCTTCTATTTTACTAGATAGAAAAAAAAATATTATTTTTTGAATAATTGTACTTAAAAATCCATTCCATTTTATCTTCCTTATCTGTATACTTGTGTGTTATTTGTTTTGTATTGTCTCTATGTTATCTTATTGATATCAGTGGTAGTTTTTTAACCATCATGATATTATTCATTGTTGTTTTATTTGGTATAAGGCCTAGTCATTTTGTATCAAAATCCATTCCATTTTATCTTCCTTATCTGTATACTTGTGTGTTATTTGTTTTGTATTGTCTCTATGTTATCTTATTGATATCAGTGGTAGTTTTTTAACCATCATGATATTATTCATTGTTGTTTTATTTGGTATAAGGCCTAGTCATTTTGTATGTCTTAAGTTAAATTATATATGTGTGTTGTTCAACATACCAAGTACTTTATCAATTATTATGATTTGCTGTTGGAACTTTTTTAAATTTTGGTTAATAAATATGAATATATTTTTGCTTGAATTTTATTTGTTAACATGCTATTTTGGTTGAATTGATGTACATTAACTTTTTTCTATGTATCGCCCTCTACACAATTTATCATTGCAACGATAATTTGTATTATGATCATTATTACCATCATTGATGTGTTGGTCATTATATTATGTGTCCAGTGGCGTAACAAAGAGACCTGGGACCCCTGACTAGAGCTTCTTTGGTCCTGGAGGCTGGGCCCGGGTAGAGAATCCAGTGGGGTATGACGTAAATCTCTATTCAAAGTTTTTTGACCGCGGGCCAACTCCGGCCTGCCAAAGATTGTTATCTGGCCTGCCAAAGATTTTGATCTGGCCTACCAATATTTTTGATCCGGCCCGTGAAACATTGCTAAAAATAAATCATTTTCCGGTCAATTTGTACCTACTTACCCCTACTCTAGCATTGTTTACAAGAGTGTGGCTTTTTCTGAGTGTAGCTCAATGTATCTTGTGACGTAAGGTATTGACATGGGGAGGGGGAGACTAAAGGAATAATGGATTAAGTGGGGCGCTGATATTATGCGATGTCTAACTATCTGCGGTACCGGCAGGCTCGGAGGCATGTCATTTTGTTGAAAACACTGCTTTGAAAACTTAATTTTGAGTCTGAATGTAGCATTTCCAGGAACCTAGAGGTATCTATGTTAAAAATTTGTGGTAGGAAAATTTTTAGTGGCAGGGTAGGAGAACTTGGGGTGCAAGTTTTTATTTTTTAATTCTAAAATAAAATGGAGAAGAAAAGAAAATTATATTCAACTTTAACTCTGAGAGGTGCCATTATAAATTTTTCCTCTATCTGTTAAAGTCCTTCCCTTGCCCTTCCATTTCGAATCCACCGCTATAAAAGAAAATGGGTGAGGCTAACATAGAAAAAAATTTGAAGTATACAATTGATGTCGGCTCGCCGCTGTTCTCAACAGATTAGAACTAGCCATCAGCTTAAAAGTTTAGGAATTGGGACTAATTCTTAAGAGTGACCAATAATGTTATCACATTTTCTTATTAATACTGTACTTTTTCTAAATTTTCTATATAGCGCCCTCTAAACATGTGTCCATGTATTTTATCATTTATGTATTTTATGTATCACCATAAGTGATGATGGTCATTCATCGTTATCATCATCATGACATCACCTTCATCATCGTCACATCAACATAAATAATATAATCATCTTCATCGTTGCACGCTGTCATCACCATTCTTCAAAAATGTCTTCGTATTTCCAACCAAACTGATCACATATAGCAACCAAAAGGTCACGATCAATGTGGTAATATCTTACTCTAGTGTGTGACTCCACAAAGGACTATACTTACCTGGTGTGATGTGAATCATATTTGGAACGAAATTGTGCTGGATAGGGGCCTAATTAATTATTACAAACGCATTGAATATATAATCGTCAGTTCGTCAGCTAGAAATCTTAATGCTAAAGTGAGACGAGACTTGATTTTCACTGAAAGACAGCTTTATGTGCTTTCCTCTATTTTTGAACTAAACTAATCTTTTTTATTTAAACATCCCATGAGTAAGACTCCGTAGTGCAAGTGCCTTATGATTTTTTTTACTAGTACTGTTAGACGCTCAACTGAAATGCATTTTCCTCGTGCAATTTCTCTTTCTGATAGATAGGCCTATTCAACGAATATTCAACGAATAAATTGTTGAAATTGTGTACTTGAACGATAGACATAATCTTGCAACCCCGATTATATCACTCGAGATACAATATACTGTAACTGAAGTGATTACTCCATGGGCGTGGTCGCACCCTTCCTCCCCCCC